ATATATATATATATATATATATATATATATATATATTAATACAAAGAGTTGTTCTTTGTTGAAACAATTAAACAATTTCTGCAGACCAACAAAAAGAAGAGTTATATAATGAAAAAATAGGAATGTAATTTAATATTTTGTAAGCCTGAAAGACAGTTTAAGTAAATCAACTAGATACAAAAGAAAAAATATAGTATAAAAAGGTTGAAATTTATTCCATTGAATTTGAGGAGGTTTTGTAATATATAGATCTTAAATGAGTGAAAAGACACAAAGAACTGTGCTACAAGATTACTGTACTTCTCCATTTTCATAGAGCAAACTAAGAAAAATATAACAAATGGTAGATATATGTAATCAAGAAAATGAGATAATACAAGAAAAATAGGTTGAAAAGATTCCTGTAGAATATATTTTAGTCTCTCAATTTTATGTGCATATTCTCATATGAATATCCTGAAAAAAAAAAGAAAAAAAAAGCAGATATCGTATTAGAAAATGATATGAACCTGTGACTATCAAGATTTACAGAGAAGGGCATAAAGAAGTTTATGTGCTTTTCTTAAAACAGTGAGAGTTGCATGTGTATATATATAGCCTTTATTCAACCTATACTATTATTATAATCATACTTTTAGTATTAAATAATTTAGTAAAATATTTATTCTTTAAATTTAATTACAGTTCATTAACTTTACTTTAAATTAATTAAATTAAAAAAGTTCTATATGTTACACATAAAACTCAAATATATATATATATCCTTTATTCAACCTATACTAATTATTATAATCATAATATAGTATTAAATAATTTAGTAAAATATTTATTCTTTAAAATTAATCACAGTTCATTAACTTTACTTTAACTTAATTAAATTAAAAAAAATTCTATATGTTACACATAAAACTCAAATCAGAATATAATTTAATTATTCATATCAACTCTCCTGTGAATAAAAAGACAATTTTAATTGATTGACTTGCAAAAAAAAAAAAACTTTTTATACAACTATTATATATTAAGAAAAGTTTGGTATATTTTCTTCTAAAACAAATGTTATTTGATAAATTTATGGTTGTGATATATTTTTTACATAAGGAGTGGCTAGTATTAATTAATTGGAGAAAATTAAAATTCATTTAATGTATTTAATTAATATTAGTAGTTGATATAGTCAATTAATGATAAACACGGATATATTTATTAGTAATAAAGTTATCTTTTATTAACTCTATAAGTTCTAATTGCATAAGGTTTCTGTGATTGGGAGAGTGTTTAAAGGAAAGAAAAGTTTGGTTTAATGTTGCATTCAATTTATTTGAGACCTTTTCCATTTAAAGGTTAGGCCTTGCATTTGAAATGTTGTGCAAGGTGGTGTGAGGTGGAGAAAGAATTTACAAAATATTATAAATGACCATTATAACACATTATACTTTTCAAGTCAATTTCATAAAAGAATCACATCGAATTTTTTAAAAACTAAAAAAAAATTAAATAAAAACATATATATTAAGATTAAAATGAATAAAATACCTAAATGTGAATAACTGTAAATTAAACCTGAAATTTTCAATACGCTTCTTTTATTTTGTTTTAATACATAATTAAATATGAATATTCTTTGGACTTCTAGTAATAAATATGATTAATCACAATTATTTCTTAAGTGAAAACACATATGTTTTGAATATATGAAAAACTATATGAGATTAATCTCCCTTGTGTTGAATGTACACAAGAAATATGGACTAAGTCCAAAATACAAATAAAAAGTAATAACAAACAAACTAAAGATAAAAGATAAATATAAAATAAAGATAATATATCTAACACTCCCTCTCAAGTTGGTGCATACAAATTGTATGTACCAAACTTGTTACAAATATAATCAATTTTCGGTCTCCATAAAGACTGAGTGAAAATATTTGCTAATTGATTACTTGAATTGACGAACTCAATCTTGATATCTCTAGATACAATTTTCTCTCGAATGAAATGATAATCAGTCTCAATGTGTTTGGTCCTCTCATGGAAGACAAGATTATAACTAATATGAAGAGCAACTTGATTGTCACATATAAGCGTCATTTGAATGATATCTCCAAATTGTAACTCTCTGAGAAATTGCTTAAGCCAAAAACAAGCTCACAAGTGGTTGAGGCCACAACTATATATTCTGCTTCTGCACTAGATCTTGCCACAACACTCTGTTTCTTGCTTTTCCATGAGATCAAGTTACCACAATGGAGACACAATATCCAGATGTAGTAGATCTTCTATCAGAAGGAGATCCTGCCCAATTAGCACCAGAATAACAAACCACTCTTGTATGGTTACTAGAACCATATAACAACCCTTTTCCAGGAGATCCTTTAATGTACTTTAATATACGAATAACTGCTTTCCAATGATTTTCACATGGGAAAATTAAGGAATTGGCTTACCACACTAACTATAAAGGAAATGTCAGGACGAGTAATTGTAAGATAACTTAATTTTCCAACTAGTCTTCTATATTTCTTGGGATCTGACATAGACTCTCCCCGTTTTGATAGAAGTTTGGTATTAGGATCCATGGGTGTGTCCACATGTTTTGAATTCATCAACCTAGTTTCCTTCAAAATATCCAGTGCATATTTCCTTTGAGATATAACAATACCATCGTTGGATTGTGTCACCTCAATACTTAAGAAATATCTAAGTTTGCCAAGATCTTTGGTCTGAAAATGGTTACGAAGATGTTGTTTCATTTGAGAGATGTCATCACTATCACTTTTTGTAAGAACAATGTCATCAATACATACTATGAAGTAGACAAATCCAAAACTCGAGTGACGGTAAAAGACTAAATGATCTACCTCACACCTAGTCATAACATTACTAAATTTTCCAAACCCGACCCTAGGAGATTGTTTTAGGCCATAAAGGATTTGCGAAGACGACATACCAACCCAGACGACTCCCCTTAAGCAACAAATCCTGGAGGTTGCTCCATATAAATCTCTTCTTGTAGATCTTTGTTAAGGAATGCATTTTTGACATCTAATTGATAAAGATGTCATTGTTGAAGAGCTGCTATTATAAATAAACGAACAGATGTCATCTTTGTCACTGGAGAAAAAGTATCACCATAATCCAACCTAAAAATTTGTGTGTAACCTTTAGCCACAAGACGAGCTTCGAGGCGATCAATAGTTCCATTAGAACCAACTTTGATAGAAAAATTCCACTTGCAACCAACAACAAATTTTTCAGACAGTAATGGGACAAGCTTCCAAGTTCCATTACTCTGAAGGGCACTTAGTTCATCTAGCATGGCCTGATGCCAACCAGGATGGGCTAAGGCATCAATAACAGATTTTGGGATGGTCACAAAAGAAATAGACGAAAGGCATGTATAAAAAGATGAAGACAATCTATGATAACTTAAAGCAAGATAATATGGAGAGGATTATGAGTAGAACGTATACCTTTTCGGAGGGCACTTGGAAGGGTAGACTCAATTGTTGAAGTTGTAGGAGATGAGACGTGTGAGAACACACCATGAACCTAAAAGAGAAAAAAGAGCGACCTGGATGCTCTAAATCGCTCTGAGACGTGTCACAATGCATGACAGAAAAAGGAGCAGATCCACACCTTTAAAAGGCGCTAAGAGCACATAGGAGCTCTGATGAAGGCGTCGTTGATGGCATGATGGTTGCCTGGCCGAGACAATCAAAACCATGTGATCGTTGGTCGAAACTAGAACTCCATTAGTGACAACTATAGACAATGGCGCTGGTGTAGTGGCAGAGGCAATAAGAATTTTGTGTACTCAAAAGAACCTGACTCTAGATATCATGTTGAATATAGTGAAAAATTATATATAAAATTAATCTCCTGTGTGTTAAATATACACGTAGAGTCTCCTATTTATAATAGAAAAAATATGGGCTAAATTCAAAATACAAATAAAAATTAATAACAAACTAATAAATATAAAATAAAAATAATATACCTAACAATATATATATATATATATATATATATATATATATATATATATATCAATTAATTAAGTTGTCAATTTCGCTCATCAATCCAAATTAAAAAGAAAAATCAATCCCATACATTTCTTTAGTTTTTCTATCTACAGAATCAAAATAACTTAGTTTCTCAAATTTAATAGTAGGATTAAAAAAATATTTTTTATTTTAAATCATATATTGTTTTTTTATTGAAGATTAGGAAACAAAAATTAGTTTATTACAAAATTAATTACTATGTGATTTTTTTACAAACATTTTGTAACTATTTTAAAGGGAGAAAATGAAAAAAAAAATACAAAATTAACTTGTGTATAAATTAATATGTAAATGCTTCCTCAAAGAAGTTCTTATTTTAAATTTTATCTGATTTAATTTTTATAAAAAAATATTTCGTTTTTATATTTTCTATAATATAGAAAAAAAATTAAAAAATCAATTCTAAATTTTTTAATTATCTCTTGTCATATTATTATAAATATAGTCAAATAAAATTATAAGTTACGTAAAGTTTTGTCAAATTAACTGATTCTTGTCAAATTTATAATTTTGTCAAATAAGTCAAATAATTTAATCAAATTAACTGATTCTTGTCAAAATTATTAAAATAAGTCAAATAAGAACGTATGCTATTTGCTTAAATTAATTATATATATTTTTTAGTGTATATATATATATATATATATATATATTCATTTATATTTTAATTTTCAGTTACTATTAATAATAAAGCGTTTTTTTTCTCTTGAGAATCTCTTCTAAACTTTTTGTGTCATTAATTTTTTTAATGATTTGTCTTCTTTTATTAATTTTTATTCTTCAATCAAAATTGTATTTTAATTTTTTATTACTTTTGTTATCTCGTTAATTTTTTTTAATAATTGGTTATTTTTGTTAAATTTAATTTTATTATTCAATCAAACTTAATTTTTAACTGTCTTAAGAAAAATCTATTAAACCTTTTTGTATCGTATTTATTTTTTATTTATGTTAATTCTATTTTTCATTCAAAATTAATTTCAATTGTTTTAAAAATTTAATAAAAACAATACGTGTATTCTATTCTTTATATTTATTATTTGAACTAATGAAAAATCTAATTTTATTTTTGAATTCGTGAATGTAACATCCCATAATCTCACACTTGAAAATTCATAATATTACATTTACGCTAACATCATGTAATCTCACACTTAAAAATTCATAGTTGATATATATCTATACATGTTTTAAACTCATATTTCAACTACAAAATTATAACTTGAGTTCTTCTACTTTATTCTTCTATCTTTCTCTTCATTGGCAGTGAGTCAGACGACATTCCTTCATCTCCCGTATAACGAATTATACGATCATCGTACATACCCAAACACAAACACAAACAATTAGGGTGAGCTAACATGCAACCAATCATTTATAAAATATGCATATTTACTTTGATGCACTCAACAAACCTCATATAATAATTATGTCGGACACACTTATACCATCATATAACAATCACATCATAGATACTCATACACTCAATAGACACTCCTTCCACAATACCCAATAGACACTCATTTCACAATATCCAATAGACACTTATACCGACGATATGTTGATGAGCGGTCAACTGGAGGTTACGCACTTGTGATGCCTTCTTAGTCCTCAACACTATGTCCAAAATCGACACATAGACCAAGACCTCCTGCCCTCCATACTATCCACAAGGTTAGTCCTCAACACTATGTTCAAAACCGGCACATAGACCAGGACCTCTTGCCCCTCTCACAACATAATTCATCTTTCTCTACTTGAGACTGGATGATCATTAGAGTATCAGGATAACCTCCAACTCAGGACCCTCAACATCAACATATACACACACATACCATGGCATTACAGAATCTCTCCGCGAGACTCATATCATGCTCACATTCCTCGACTCATATTATACCCTTACGAAATCTCCCCATAATACTCATATCATGTTCAGATGCATAAATTCAAATCCAATATAATAAATTACAATCATCACAAAAATCATACAAAATGAATATATTAAAAAATAAATTAACAATTCTAAAATATCACCATAAATGGTCACTAGAGAAGAATCAAATGTTTGACGAATCAAACTCACCATAAACGCCAGTACATATGACTAGTCACAACTTACTGGATTTGACCAGGGCTGCTCTATGATCAGGGATGTACCAACTCCGGTTTTTAAGATTCCTCTATCTTACCATCACAATTATAATTCATAATTTCATATCTACCACAATACATGAATTCATCAGAAATTTTCATTCAAACAAGATATATTGCACAATAATTTAACGGTACATAATCTGTTCAACAAGATTTAAGTTAAAAACTTGTCGAGTAGACTTCTAGGAAAGAGAGGTGCGTCACAATGGACAACTTAAGTACCAAGTCTTTCCTTAGCCAAAGTGTTCCTCAACTAGTTTTTAACAAATTTCTTATTTACAGATTCAAAACAAAAGCATGTAATATTATCACAGAAATTCAATATAGATAGATATACAGTAAGCATTAACAGTATTCACACAGAATTTCAAGACATGAATAGTAATAAAACAATACTAAATCATAATATAAAAGCTTAGAAAGGTTAGTTCCCCTACCTCTATTCCAGACTTCTCTTGCTCCGAATTTGTTTCTCCGAAAACCCTCCAGAGTATTTGTACTTTCATGCATTATTTAAATGTTTAGGCATGATACTTATATTAGCGTTTAACGCTTGTCTATTTTGAGTAACTTTTAAAACATTTAGGATATAAAGTTTAGCAAGATTATAAGTGTTCTAGATGATCTAACTTTCTTTTAGACGCTTTTGCAATTAGACATTCTGTTATGAACTTTATAACGTTTTGCACTTATCAGACATGTGTTACACAATCTTAGTTATTAGATACTCTAGATCGTTTAGACACTTTAAAGAATAACGTTTAACACTTCTAACATATTGTCTTAGATGATTAAGCATTATTTCACTTTAAACGTTATATTAAACTTTAAAACAAGATTTGCTTAAATAACCTTATCTCAACATTTTTTACACTTAACCATTAAGAAAATATAAAAGAAAGAAAAAGGACAAAAAAAAAATAAATTGAAAAAAGAAAGTTGAATGAAAAACAGAAAAATAGAAAAATGCATTTTTACTATATCTCTCATTAATAAAATTCTACAAATTAGAGTTCTAGAATGAATAAAGAAAACGTAAACTAAAAATAACTTACATTACAAGTGATGATGTTATATACACTTATGTATCAATATGTTTAATTCACTGTAACGAATAAACGACCTTAACTTGAATGAAATCCGTTCAGTCTTTTAGGAAAAAAAATTATAATTATAAAAATACGGTTAGCTTGTAGTGGGTTAAGAGCTTTCTTTTCCAAATTACAAAGTAATAGTTAAAATTTAAAAAAAAATAATGAAAAATATTTTTATTAAATAAAATAATGACTTTATTAATTCTATTTACTTTCCAGAAAATTCCTCTTGCGCATGCCTTCGTGCAAATTGTGGGATAGGGTATCGTTCTCAGGCAGTGAATTTGGCTACAGGGTTGGAGCCTCATCCGCCATTTTCTATGCACAATGTTGAGTAGCCGTTGGAGGAGTTTCAAAGCGAATATAATCATACATAACTCCCATGAAAGGACCTTTGGCAAATGACTGTGTCAAATAGATGATGTTCTTCCCTTTTACCAATTGATCACTACCTACAACTACACTATACAACTCATACAATCCATGGATTCCGTGCCTTGCTATGGCATTGTCATCGACAATTAGCCTGGTTGAGAAGTGAGGACGCTTTGCATTCGCCTCGTTCAACCTAATTAACCTGATCACTCATCTCAAAAACCGTTAGCCACCATAGTCGTAGCAGAAAAATATAAACAAAATATCAATCATGGAAGAAATGAATTGGTGTGTATACCTTCAATTTAGATCCAGTAGCGGCTGCAATGGCCAATTGTAGTGTGTAGTTTCCTCCCTTTGTGATATTTTGAAGGTGGAATCGAATCTGCCATGTGGTTGGCATGAATGTTTTTTCTTCTGTGCTCCTGCATACATCAGAGTAACTCAGGAGAAAACTCATGATGAAGATTACAGAAAATTCTACAAGTTAGACATTACCTGGTAACTTGAGCAAAAAACCAATCCTTATTATAGTCTGAAACACCGACTGTGTCGCATTTTGGATATAACTCACTGTAACGTGTCCACAAGCCGTATTGCCTAAACCTGTCACAGTACAAATACTT